CTTCTCATTTTCAGGGAGGGACTCAGTAAGATTCATGGCTGGCGGTGAGCTCACACAGTAGTGCCAGCAGTTCTGAACCTGGATCTCCCTGCCTCACCTCAGAGCTGCGATTACAGGTGTGGACAACCAGATGGCTCAGTGGGTAAGAGCAAGCTCACTGTACAAGTGGATCTGAGTTCATACCCTCAAAGAGCTGAGTGAGACCATACATACACCTGCAATCCCAGCACAGAGGGGCGGAGGAGAACCTGTATCAAATAAGGTAGGGAATGACACATATGTGCTCCGTAACACACACACACACACACACACACACACACACACACACACACACACAAAACTAACCACTTGCTATGTCCGTGCTGAAGACAGAACATGTTCCTGATTTGTAAACCCCCCCCAGGATATTGCTCATTCCACCTTTGGTTACAACTGCATTGTGGGATAAGCTTAGTGGGGAGACCCATAGCTGCCCACAGCACTGGTTCCTAGGACGAGTGTGTTTTCAGTGCAAAGCACTGCCGGGCTCAAGCAGTCCTGCCAAGGTGGACGGGAGAGGTTATGGTCTACAGACACATAAGAACGTGTCACACAAGGACTGAGGGAGGTCAGCAACATTCTTTGATAACTTTCTGGAAGGGTCCTCAGAAACAGGCCATTAGCAGAGCCACAAGAGAGGGGACAGGATGCCTCCAAGCTCCTGAGTCCCAGGTTCTGACATACCACAGGCTGTCTTTTCACTGAGGTTAGGGCCAGGACTTAGGTCTTGAGTACCAGACTGACAGAAGGGGGAGTGTGCTGTGCTGAGCACCCCTTGGCTGAAAAACAAACTAAATTCACCAGAGGTTTCTTGTGAGTTGGCAACAAACTTGGAATGAATTTCCAGAACTGTTCAGGGTGGCAGATCAATATGCCTGTGTCTGGATGACAGCAGGACCCTCCTGGCAGGGAGGTCAGCCTCTGGCTGTAGGGGCCTCAGGGAAGGGAAGAGACTGCAGGTCACAGTGGCTTATGACCCTGAAACGACATAGTGGTGTGTAGAGTCCATGGGAACAACATACAGCCAGCCCTCCAGATCCATGGGTTCTGTACCCGTGAGCCCAAACACAGATGGGAAAGGAAATCATGGGCTGCCACTCTGCAGACCCAACAACACGGTTCAGAAACTCCCTCCACAGCAGGCCTGTGAGGTTGGTGCTGTCGATCACCTGAGAGGAGTTCAGTCTATAGGTCGGTGTATACGGGTGCCATGCAGGTGCTCTGTGCTGACAGAAGCAGCTTGGACTCCTCAGTGTGGAACAGGGGCATGGAGGAAGCTGCATGTGCACACTCCCACATAAAGCATGTACACTGCCCTTCATTCTGTCATGGAAATGCTAGTTGATTACACAGAACTCAGTCTGGTCACTTTATTTTTGAGCCTTTGGGAATCTACTTCACAGACCTGCAACTCAGCATCACAAGGTTGCAAAGCACCATGGGTAGCTTGAGTGAACTGCCAGCCGAGACGCCTGTGGCTGCATCCTTGAGCCTGCTCTGCACCTCATTCAAGTCACTTACACCTGACAGACCCTGAGTCCTCTCACTCTCACGCAGCTGCCACTGAAGAGCAAGGTCCTTCTCAACCCTCAGCGTTGGGGACACCGTCAGGAGGGACTGCTGCACGCCCAGGTGACACACAGCTGCGCACAGCTCACAGCAGGTTCACCCCATGCTTCAGCAGCTTCCTCTTGGCTTTGCCTGCGAGGCTGAAGGCACAATCCTGAGGGTTTGGGAAGCCAGAGCTGCGGGCGGTGGGTGTCAGCTGCTGGAAGTAGGTCTCCTGGGCGGGGTTGCAGCAGGCATACACAGCTGTGGAGGCGTTCCTGTGGCGGAGGAAAGAGGACAACAGCTCAGGGGTGCCAGTGTGGGTGCTGGCTGGCCACTCCAGCACCCCACATGCCTGCTGCAGGCCCGGCTAACAACTGTCCTGTCTTCCAGCTCACTGGGGGCTGGGATGATGCATGGTGGCCTGAGGCGGCTGCAGCCAGAGTCTGAGGTCACCAAATGGATGCAGAGGCTGCTGTCCTCATAGCAGCAGCAGATCAAACCCTGCTTGTGTCCTACCCACCAGTCAAGGGGCCTGGGCTTAGGAGGGTGGCTGATGCTGCTCTACTCTGATGCCTGTGAGGTGACAGAGGAGTGGGATGTGACAGAAAGCAGGAAACCTAGACCCACAGGGAATGGCACAGGAGGACCTGTGATGGGTATTCAAGAAGTGGGTGTGGGGTAGCCAAGGAAACCGCAGCTGCGTCTTAGTAGCTGAGCTCCTGGCAGCATGCTGCTCCTATGTCCCACATCCTTGAAGCCACACCGCACAGGCACACTACCCAGGGGTCCACACCCTCCATGCCAGCACCATTTCCTTGCAGATTCAATCCCCCACATCCCTGTGCTCTTTCCCCCAACCTGAGAATAAATACCCTAACGGGGAAATCTGGGAAGAAAAATGGTTACTTTACGCCATGAATATGCCACCCATCTCATAAATATTCATAAGAACTCTTTACAAATCCCATGCCGGGCCAGAGGGATGCTTGACAACCTCGGTTCCATCCTGGAACCCACAGCCTGGAAGGTGAGCACCAACCCCTGCCAGTTGTCCTCTGACCTCTACATGTACACTGTGGTGCACATGTGAACATATGCACACACACAGACATGCATACACACAAATCACACACACACATGCACACATACCAGAGATGTGCACATCACACACACACATATACAGACACATGCACATCACATGCACAGACACACGCAAATCACACACAGAGAGATACACATATCATATCACACCACACACACACTTTTAAAAAGTCCACAACCAGTATTCACTATGCTGCTCCCCCACTTTCAGGACAGCCTGCACTGGCTTCTCCATGTTGCTAAGAAAGCTTCAGATTCAACTGTCTCTTGGCGGAATCTGCCCTTCTGGGAACAGGACCAGGGACTCTCACCTGTTAACAGACCCACCCGATCACCTCTGCCACCCCACCTTTCTTCCTGTCTTGAGGCTTTAGCCTAATAAGCCTCAGTTTTCCCTGATTCTAGAACGCAATAGTTGAGTCAGGGGCTACTAAGACTCCTTCCCTCAGCTGTCGCCTGCTGGGTGGGGAGGAACCTCCAGGCACCTGCAGGACCTGGCTGGTATAATTTCTTTGGCTCCTGTGAGGCATTCCTCTGGACGGCTTCTCTCAAAGCTCAAGGGGAGTGTGGCCTGGTGAAAAAACCTTCCAGTCACACCTGTGTGGCAATGCCAGCCCTCCTACTGGCAAGCAGGGAGCCCCTGGCTTTATTCCAGTGTCTATGGAGTCTGTGTGCACTCCTTAGCATGTGCCAAGGAACTGTGTCTGCATCACTGTGGTGAGAACCTATCCAGCATGCCTTGGGCTCTACCCCACACTGAACCCTCTCAGTTCTAGGAAGGTGAAGTACAGCAGCCACCAGCAGCGGGTGGGGCAGATGTCACCGTTTGCTTGCTGCCACCTCCCACTCAACAGCCACACACCCAGCACACCCAGGTCCCAGAGCGGTGGCTGCAGATGTAAGTCACTCCGACTGCCAGCTAGAGAGGACAGGCTGTGCTATCAGCAACAGATGTCACCAGGGCAGACAGCTGGCATCAGTGTGGCAAGTGACAGGACATGGGAATTTCATCACCAAGGCTCTGTGTGCTTTCCACTGAGTCCCGACCCACGGTCTTCGCCCACTAGTGAGACCAATGGGAAAGAGCATGCAGCTCAGAGTCATGGCGGCCTGCAGTCCAACTTTGGCTCTGGGCTTCGTGAGACTATGACCTAGGACATCACTGTCCCCACGCATGCTCACATTTCTCACTAGGAGAGGAATGAAAAGTGTGCTTGCACAGCCAGTTCCAAGAGTCGATGGGTTGGTGGAGGGGGCGGGGAGGCTCTCCCTCCAGCCCTCTAACATGTTCGGCTTTCCAAAACTAGCTGCAGAGAGCGTGGAGAGAAGGGGTACAGCTTGTTTATTCGTCCGTCTTCAGGGATAGTCCATGGACCATACCAGACACCTGGGAGATGAGGTAGTATGGCAACGGGGAAGGAAATGGAACCCTGTGCTGTCTGTCTCAGTCACAGAGGATGAAAACTAAGACGCAATGCCCTGGAGCACCCCCACAAACGGAGACACGGGCTGGTCCTGGTGCTGATGGACACTGGAGAAATGTCTGATTCTGAGATCTCTGCAGGGACTTTGTAATCAGGAGCCTGTAGGGTTGTCTGGTCCACCCTCAGGAATGGCACAGCCCCGTGCACTCTGACAGTGAGGACTTAGAGTTTTGTCACTGTTGTGACCTGCATATTTAGAGCAGGCCCTGTGTGTGCATGGGAGGAGAGCCTCCAAAGGGACCAACCATAGTCACCACCAAACGATGAGGACAGAGGCAAAGCTGCTGGGGGGGGGCACTCAGAAGCTTACCTGACTGTCATCTCATAGAGCATAGGCAGCTGGGCAAAGTCGGAATGCATGACGTTGACGGCCTGCAGAAAGCGACGGTCCTGGGGAGTGGCCACTAGAGACAGGTTGGCTTGCAGAAGGAGACAGAGGTGGTGAATGACAGCCCTCCCTGACTCCTTGGGCCCAGTCCTGGGCATGGGGCAGCGTGGCTGAAGCCTGAGTGTGGGCGAGAGACCTGGGGGCAAACAGCCCAGGTGCCAGCCCTACTGCTGCTGTCTCTTCTCTGGGAGAGAGCGCTGCCAGCCCCCACTGTCAGCCGCAGCAGCTCCTGCGCTGGGGTCAACCTTGCCACACGCGTTTAAACTCACACGTTCCCGCTGGGGAACTAGCAAACAAGAAAGGAGCAATTGGGTGTCTGCCAGCGAGCTCAGGGTCTGTGCCCTAGCTGTGGCCAGAGGGCTGTGGGCCACAGCACTGCTATGACTGGGTTCTCCCTCCACCCATGTGGAGCTGGGCTCCCTGAACCCGCCCCTTACCTGTGAGCACGCTCTGGATTCGGTCGTAATGCACAAAGTTGTATGTGCTGCTTGTGGGGCTGGCCTCGTCTCTGGGCAGTGTCTCCTTCAGGTGGACTTCCAGCCCATTCAGGGATGCCAAGCTGCTGTGGTACTGCAGAGGGGCCAGGAGTGGGTCACGGGGTGGCAGAGCCAGTTAAGAAGCGAGCACCTAGACGACGCCTCAGTGGTCACTAGACCTAGTGACAGGAGCCAGTGTCTGCCTGAGGCATCAAGTTCCACACATGCTCCTGTTTTGTTTGTTTGAGACAGGGTTTCCCTGTGCACCCCCGACTGCTCTGGCACTCGCCATTGAGACCAGGATTGCTTCGAACTTGTGGAAAGCCTCCTGCCTCTGCCTCCTGGGTGCTTGGATTATGGGTGTGTGCCATCCCCATCCACATATGTTCACACATACATACATACATACATACATACATACATACATACATTTTTCTCTTCATGTGTATGCCGTGTGTTATATGAATGCACATGGAACTCAGAAGAGGCTGCTACATCCCTTGAGCAGGTGCACAGGCAATTGTGAACTGTCCACTGCGAATGCTAGTACTAAACTCAGGCCCCCGAACAAGAACCAAGTGTTCTTAATTGCTAAGTCATCTCTCCAGCTCCATGGTCTAATGTTTGTCAACTAAGGGTCATCCTGTGTGTTGATAAAACAAGTAGGCTCTAATTTAAGAAAAGATGAGCCGGGCGGTGGTGGCGCACGCCTTTAATCCCAGCACTCGGGAGGCAGAGGCAGGTGGATCTCTGTGAGTTCGAGGTCGGGCTGGACCGATAGCCTCCGAAACAATACAGAGAAACCCTGTCTCATAAAAAAAAAAAAAAAAAGAAAAGATGAGTGAGGCATGGCAGTACTAACCCAGAGCCCCGGCACTCAGGAAGCTGATGTAGGAAGATCACAAATTTGAGGTCATCATGGGTGGAAGAAAGGAAGAAGAGGAGGAGGAAGAAGAAACAAAAGGAAAAAGAAAAGAAAAATTACCCATGATGTCACCACCCACTGGTGGCTGCCTAGCTGTGGCTTCTCAGAAGCCCCCAGGGTACTATCCCTTTTGTTTTATTTAAATATTTGCTTATTTCTAATTTATCTGCCTTATATGTGCAGAGGCCAGAAGAGCATCAGGTCCCCTGGAGCTGGAGCTCCAGGCAGTTGTGAGCTGCCTCATATGGGCAATGGGATCTGAATTCTGGTCCTCTGGGAGAGCAGCAAGTGCTCTAGACCCCTGGGCCATCTCTCCAGTTCCGGGACTGTCTGCTTTAACAATATTGGTGGCCTACTGTGTTCCCAGGATTTCCCAACATGGCCTGGATGAAGTCCCTCATAGGTTAATCTCTTCCATGAAAAATGTGCAGCTTCTACAAGAACCGAGGAATGCTGTCCAGTGGCCTGTGTTCAGTGGCTCTGAGAGGCTTTAGGAATGAGTCCCCACACTGTCTCAGGAGCTCCAGCAGGTAAGCAGTGTGTGAACAGATTCCCATGACTGATGGATAAACACAGCCAGCGCCAGGCACTTCAACCACAGGCTTCCCAAGTGTACAGGCGAGGAAAGCGGGTGTGTATAGAAGCCCTCCAACCTGATGGTTGGGACACTTAGCAATACTGAGTTAGCAGACACAAACAAGCCTAGGCTTGAAAGGTGTGTGAGCCTGGGGGTTGGGGGTAGGATAACACTGGGACACCCAGGGGAGCTCACCCTGCAGCTGGGGGAGGAGGCACTGGGACACCCAGGGAGCTCACCCTGCAGCTATACTATACCTTCTGGATCTCAGGGACCTGATAACAGCCACCCCTCAAACTGTTAACAAGAGATGAGAAGAACTGGACCAGAGAGTGGGCCAACTAAATCCTGTTCTCTGTAAATGTATTAGGTTCTACTTCCAAAATTTTCTGCCTAACTTATAATCAAGATAGAGTTGCTTAACCACAAACCGCCATGAGACATGATAATATGGAGGAGCCTTCTCTGATGACTAAGTGTTGTCATAGATACAGGGCCCTGGTTAAACCCAGGTGACCTGTTTTGGTACAGCCTAGCAACTGAGGATAGTTTTTGTTACAGCATTTGTGTATTTGTTACAGTATTGTGAGACGTCTAGGGGGTGGTCACGGAAGGCCACAACCACACCCTTCATACCCTGATGCCCCCTGCACGGCCTAATGCAGCAGTAATTCATAAGCTCCCTGCAACTGAGGGCCCATGGGAATATCCTGGGCACAGAGCTGAACACCAGGCTGGGGGACACTAAGCTGCCCCCTGGCAGGATCCTCCTGCACTTCCCTTTCACAGCACAGCTCCCAGGCTCAAGAGCCTGTCACCCCATTGCCCTGCCTGCTGTGGAGGTCTGTGTGGACAGAGCCTGTTCAGCAGGCTGCGTACCCCAGCTGGCTAGCCTGTGGGACCATGCTGCACAGACTGTGTCTGCCTTCCAGAACACAGCGGGAAAGCTGCCGAGAGAGCAGGTGAAGCGTTTCCGACTCAAGTCTAGTCTACTTAAGACAGGGACGGTAACAAGCCTCTCCTATAAACCAGACTCATTTAAACCAGTGCACTGCTCAAAGTCAGAACTCCCTGGTCTAGATGGCACCATTAGCATCCGTCTTCCATACCCTGCATCCCATTTCCTGGGCCTAGCAGCACCAACCCTACTCTACAGGCAAGCTGGAGGCGGTGGTCGTAACACTGCGGCTGGCCCTTACAAATCCCCCCCACAGCAGAGGACAGGGCCCTCTCATCTCCCGACCCATCAGCAAGAGCAGACAAGTCTGGGGACAGAGGAGTGAGGACTGGGCGGTGAGAATCAATGGGAACTCAGGACCTGTCGTCTGCATGGCCTCCACCTCACAAGGCTCTTTTCTTCCCAGGGCAGGAGTTGCAGTGTCTGCCCTCCAGAGCCACCCTCAGCGTGGCTAACACAACCAGACAGCTTGTCATATAATCATGCAGACCACTCCTCCCAAGGCACCCTGGGCTGGGTCTCTTTAGAGGGGGCTTGGGGCAAAAAGAGGAACATTCTATTTTGCTGCATGCAAACATCAGGCCTTCGAGGCGAACACCCCTGAGGCTCAACACAGTAAGAACTGGGGAAGCCAAGGCAGAGAAGCTGCCGTGTGAAGCTATAGCCAGCGAGGGCCCTTTGCTGTCCCAAGGCAGAAGTGGACACAGTCATGCTAAGTGAGGACATGAAACAAGCCTCGATTCTGGGCCATGGGCAGGCTCTGTGGAAGGAGACAGAATAGTCAGGTGTTTCAGAGAGAAGCTGCCCAGCAGCCTGTCCTGTGCTCCAAGGTGACTGGTTCTTCAGTGGATGGCCACAAGGCATGCATGCCAATGAGACTGCCTCAGAATAATGTGGATTTAAGAAGAAAAACAAGTGGAGCCCCAGAACACCATTTGCCCTGCAGCAACTGTTCTTCCTGCCAACCACAGCAAGGCTGTTACCATAGCAACTCTATCGCCAGCCAGCGTGGGCCTAGACCCAAGAGCTCAGTTCACTGCTTCAGGAAGCGGTGGCTACTCAAAAAGTGCCCTCCACAGCCAGTTTGGAATTCAAGTGTACTCCGTGAGCCTGGGTCTAGGAAAGAAAGGAAGGGTTCCTGGGAAGCCCCCACCCCAGGCTGGGATGTGCGGCAGGAGACAGACACTGCTAACAGTGCCTCAGCTAGGAGCTGAACCAGCAACAGGGCAGCTCAGCCTAGCCTGCAGTCTCTGGGGGCATGACCTCACTACCTCAGAGTGGGAAGCCGAACACCACTTGCAGGCTGCTGAGAAGGAAACAAGGCCCAGAGGGGCGAGCTGCAAGACACTCCTGTTCACACTTCCCTTCCCCAATACCCGTGCTCTGAGAGACCCCGGGAAGCCGAAAAGCAAAAGCCCGTTACTGTCTGCCTGTGCTATGATGCATGTGTGGCCCACTCTTACACACCCACAAAAGCTCACAGAAGTGGGCACTACCCTCAACCTTACTACACAAACGGAGGGGGGGGGAGGGGGTGTCTTCTCAGAAGGCTGGCTGGTCCATGTTCCTAGGAGGAAGGTGAGGGAACAGAGGGGCTGGGGACACTCACCACCTCCTCGATGGCTGCGATGTCTCTGAGAAGAGGCTTCTCAGTCAACAGGGACAGCACCAGCCCATTCACACTGTGAGTGTAGAGGTTCATGGGCAAGAGCCCTGCCTGGGGCCTGGCTGGGGATGGCTCAAAGCCACTTCTGTCTGCAGAGGTGCTGGGACCCCGAGAGTCAGCTAGGGCTGAATGGTGCTCACGGCTTCCATCCCCACACTGCTCTGCACTGCGCTCCTCACCCACAGGATCTTGGGGAGGAACTAACACAGGCCTGCTGCTTCCTCTGAGGAGGGGGTCTGTGCTAGGAACTTGGGTTTGTCCATTGGTGATGGGAAGGTCTGTAAGCCGTTCCAGCCCTCCACTCTCAGAAAGCCTCTCAAGAGGGGAAGGGTCCAGGCAGCTGCACACTGCTGTGTCTTCAGGCAGCATGGGGGCCTGGTGGCTGGTGAGGACAGCTTCCTGATCGCCCAGGGCAGGCATGGGTGCGAAGGCTTCCTGAGGCTCAGAGATGTGGATTTCAGACAAGTCCAGTTCCTGTCGGGAAAAACCCAGCTCCTGCTGCATCCTGCTGCTGCTGCTAGAACCCGGGCCACAGGCAGTAGTGCACAGTCCTGCAGTAGCCACATGCTCCTGCTGCTCGTGCCCAAGCGAGCGTCCATCTGCCTCCCTGCCATTCAGGCACGCTCCATCACGGGGTGTGGGCTCCAGGATGGCGGCTGACATCCAGGCATCTTCTGCCTGGGTAGGGGTGCTTCGATCCCAGAGAGGGTACTGAGATGAACTTTCCTGGAGTCTGGCAAAGGAAAGAGATGTCACATCAGCAGAGTGTGGGACAAAGGCTTCCACGGAGACACTGAGGTTCTGATACCTGAAAGGCACAGGCATCAGTGACAAGTAGATTATCTGCACCCACAGAGCTCAAGATGACCAAAACACAAAAGAAAGAAAGGCAATGACTGGTGAAGGCTTTGTCACAATGAGGTCAGTGACCAGGGTCTCCTGAGAGTGGCTCCACAGAGTCTGCTGTGTCCCAAGGCTAGGACAGCTCTGATCAATGCCTTTACAAGACAGTGCAGGATACAAGTGGGGAGCACACACGCCGTAAGAGGAACACGGAGCCGGGCGGTGGTGGCGCACACCTTAAATCCCAGCACTCGGGAGGCAGAGGCAGGCGGATCTCTGTGAGTTTGAGGCCAGCCTGGTCTACAGACAAGTGCCAGGACAGCCTCCAAAATAACACAGAGAAACCCTATCTCAAAAAAGCAAAAAAAAAAAAAAAAAAAAAAAAAAAGAGGAACACCAAACGTACCTAGTCTTCTGTTCCACCGTGAACTCGTGGAGACTAGCAACTTCCTCCTCAGTCAGAAAAACCGGGGTGATCTGCACACCAGGGGGCAATGCTGCTCCTGCAAGTACAGCCAGCATGGGCAGGGCTCCCCTGGGATGAGGTGGGCCCTTGGCACTCACATGTCTCACTTACACCACACCTGGTTCAGAAAGCAGCACCAGGGCTGCTCTCCTCAGCCCAAAGCCCCAGAGCTGCAGCGGAGACGCTGTGAGCAGCAGGGAAAGAGGAATGTGGCAGCCTCACATCAGACATGATGTCGGAGGAAAGGGCTTGCAGCTGGCCTAGGACTCAGCACATTCAGGCTTTAGAATGCGGCCAGAGCCTCTTGGGGATGCCGCTTCATCCTGAAGGAGGTAGCCGTCACCACACCCCAGACACTGTCTAAGCAATGTCACAGAATGGAGACGAAGGGCAGCAGGCCCAAATCATGACCTTGGAAATCAGAGAGTCAAAGGGCAACTGCCCCTCTAGCTGTGCTAGACCCACTCATCGGCTGACCTGTGAGCAGAGGAGACTCACACAGGCTGGGTGCCCTCTCCCTGGCTCATCCCAGCACGAAGGCAGCACACCACTGCCCACCACACCACGTACCTGCTTCCTGTGGGGCAGCCCCTGCTCCAGGAAGTCTCTGAAACAAACATACACTCAGGTTGGCACCAGATACATTCTCTTGACAACCACTGGGAATTCCTGGCACCATCTGCTCACAGGAGTCAGCCAAGTCCAGGGAGCTGGTGTGACCTGTGCCAAGAGTCCAAGCAGATGGAGCGCGGCCACTTGCTCCTCAGAGGCCAGGAGGAGGCAAGAACTGGCCTACTCGGGCTTCAAAGGGGCAGTTCTGAACTGTTGTCTCTCATGAAGAAAAAAAGCAAGGGTTCCCCGCCTGCGTCCACCTTTGGGTACCTAGTCTAGAATGCAACCATAGAGGCTGGGAATACAGCCCAACGGTAAAACTCAAAGCCATGGCCCCAATCCCCAGCAACAATAAGCAAACAATGTATATCCTCTCGCCCTAAAGCTCACAGTCCTATTAATACTTGGGAATTTCCTCTTTTAGTAAGTGCCTTTTACTACTTTGAGACATTAAATTCAATTCAGTATTTCGATTTAAAACAGTTGAAGTGATTGCACTCATTGGAAAATCTCTGGCTAAGACCTGACGAGGTCTGCAACAGCTCATGAAAATCGACTAACCCTCAGCCACAGACCAGACCCTAGCCGTTCCTCTGTACAGGTGAGAAAACACATTTCCAGCCTTTGGGGCTGTGAGCTTCGGTCCCAACCACTGATCGTGGCTGCTGCACCAAGCTCGACAAAAATACATGTAGTAACACCAGCAGGCTAGTCTGTAGCACCCTCAGACAGTCAAATCCCACCGGCTTCCCCCTTCACTAGCAGGCTAAGAGGGCTGTCTTTCCTCAGTGTGGATTCCCAGAAACTTAGTCAGGGGAGACAGGGCAAGGGTATCTTACAGTTCCACCCACAGGAAGCCAGAGCCCACCCAGGCTCTCTCACGGTAAGAGAGAGGCCAGAGAAGCACTTGAAACAGAAGTTCACAAAACGAGCCAGGCTGGTGGATGAGCTTGGGACCCCAGCACTGGGGAGGTGAAGCAGATGGATCAGAAGTTCTCTATGTAGACCAGGCTACCCGATGGGAACTCCATTTCCAAAATCAAAACAAAATAATTTAAAAGAGAGACAGAGTCTAGATGGAAACTGCTGGGTGAGAGTTGTGGAGTCTATGTTGTCTGGGGCATTTTCTCCCTTCCTAAAACAGGGTCTCACTGCGTGGCCCTGGCTGTCCTGGGACTCGCTTTGTAGAGCAGGCTAGACTCAAACTCACAGACAGCCACCTGCCTGTGGGCAATTCTACTCTCAATGGTGGTACGTGTTCTTCACACACACAGTGAAGGCACATGAAGCTCATGTTCCCCTACACCCTTCCCTCCTGTTTCTTCTTCCTTTCCTCCAGTTCTAGAAACAGAATCTCAGTATGTAGCCCAGGGTAGCTCAGCACTCATGATCATCCTGCCTCAGCTTCCCAGGGCCAGCACACAGCACCACAGCCAGCAGTTTTCCTGGAGATTTAAGGACATGTTCTTTGAAGTGCTCTCTGCCATCAACACTATGCTAGATGCTAGGGGGAGCAGAATGCACACAGCTCTGCGTGGCTTCTAAGAGCCAGCGCACAAGGCCAACGCAGGGCAAATGCTTGCTTTTTCTCTCGCTCCACTCCTTGACCATGCCAAGGCATGAAGAGTTGTGACACATTCAGTGAAGCAAGTGCCCTAGGCCTGTCGACCATGTGGGCCACCCCCCACAGCTGGATGGCAGGGGTTCTGGGTCAGCCTCCCCAGCAGGTTGTACTGTACTGTACCTGGTCTGCAGGGACAGTCTGGTGAAGCAGGACCTTGGCGGTGAGGGAAGGAGGGAGCTGGGAATTCACAATCCTGGGGGTAAGACACAGGGATAAGAACATGATGAAAGAAAGTGCTGGGATGACAGTGTCCCTGGAGGTGGAGGATCTTGGGGATGCGACTGGCAGGAGTTTCATGTGGAAGATCGTCAGTGAAGAGTTCTCTGTTCTGCAGGCCCCACTGACAGTCAAAACGCAAGCTCTCCAGCCAGGCAGGGATGAGGTGAGAAGATGGTAAGGCATGTTAAACACAAGTAAGCCACCGGCCAACCACTTGGAGCACAAAGATACCCAGCATTCAGAGGGCAGGAGGCTGGGGCAACTGCAGGTCAGGATGCTCCTCTCCGAGCTCTAGGCCAGCCTGGGCACTATGTACAGTGAGAACGTCAAAAACCAGCAGAAGCAAAAGTGCCTCGATTGCACACGCCAAGACCCGACTGCTATGTCCCACTTGCACAGAGAGAGCAGAGGGAACTGGTGTGGGAGCTTGTACAGGACTCAGTGCGGTGCTGCTTGCCACACTGCTGGCCACAGGCACAGCTGAGAGCAAGGCCGAAGAGCCTCTGCTCTGTGCAACTGGTGCACAGGGAGGCCTGGGCAAGGTGGCACATGCTTTTAATCTCAGCATTGGGAGGCAGAAGCAGTCTGTCTTTGGGAGTTCAAAGCCAGCCTGATCTACATAGAGAATTCCAGGACAGCCAGGGCTACATGGTAAGATACTGTCTCAAAATAAAGGGTGTGTATGTACTTATTACATATGTGCTATATATGTATATATGTATGTGAGAGAGAAAATACTATTTCTAAATGTTTTAAACATTTATCATGTGGGGTGTGTGTGTGTGAGAGAACACGCGTACATGTGCTCACAGGTAAATGCTACAGTGCAATTGGAGGTCAGAGGACAGTTTGGAAGAGTCAGTTCTCTCTTTCCACCATGTGTCTCAGAATGGAACTCAGGTTATCAGGCTTGGTTGCAAGCACCTTTAGTCACTGAGCCACCTTGCCTGGCCACAAAGACTATTTTGTCAAAGTGGCATACAGCGTCATGCTGAGGAGGATGGGGGAGAAGAAAGGGATGATGTTCGGGGAGGGGGATGCTTGTGGTTGGTCCTCTACATCTACCCACTGCTGTCATTCTCCAGCAAGGCTCTCCACTTCCAGGAGAGGAGACTGAGGCTACCTGTCCAAGATGGCGGAGCAGAGGGTAAGAGAAACCAGGGCCTGAACCCCCACTCTGGAGAGCACTGTCTGAGGCAATGCCTCTCAGCCCTGCCCAAGGCCCAGTCTGCCTGGGCAGTGAGCACAAATGCTCCATAAAAAGAGGCTGTCGGGCCCTGGGCTCTCCCAGCCTAAAGAAAGCTGGTGAGTTTGGTGGAAGGCTGGAACTAGCTGGGTAGCATTAGACATATCCCCTACTTGCAGAGCTGGCTGCTGCCCACGGCGGGGCTCTGAACTGCATCCTGCCCACGGACACTTCACCAAAACAGCCACACCAAGGACCTCAGGTTCCTCTCCTGAACAGTTCCCAATTACACGGTGATGCACCCTCGGCCAAACCAAGTGACCTGGCCTTTGCTAAACAACAGTAGACACTGATTGGAACTAGTGGGGACAGTGGGTGGGAGCACTGAGGGGACACACATGGACACAACTCACAGTCCTTTGTAGAGGATGCAGCCAGCTAGGACATGGGGCGAGCGCTGGCAGGTCTGCAAGATGAGTGCTGCCTTCAGCAGCAACAGGGGCTCCACCTAGGGAGGACAAGACAGGTGCCCGTGAGCTTACACGTGCCTGGGGGGAACAGTGAAGCAGGGCTTCAGAGACCAGCTGAGGGGATCACAACCCATAGCCAGCTCACAGTTCTTGTGAGGAATCAGCTGCTCAACCATGAAGATCACGTGAGCCTGTTCAGAACTGCCCAAACACTGCAGCCTCCCGGCTTCCTGCCTGGCTGCCAGCACTGATGTGAGCCAGTCGGTCAGGACTAAGTAAGAAGGGCCAGGTGCACAGGGTGCCCTCACTCTCACAGCTCCAGACTGTGTTCAGCACCAGCTGGCCTCCGGAGCTGTCCACGGAAGTGGGAAAACCCTACCCCACGCCCGGCACCGTGGGCGCTGGAAATGCTGAGTCCCGGCTGCTTTTTTCAGCAGTGGCGTGGAAGATGCAGAGCTGAGATACACAGGCACCCAGGCCAGCCACACAGCAGCCAGCACTCATTAGGTGAGTGCAAATGGAAAGGAGAATGGTTCAGAGAGAGAACCTTCCTGCCTCTCTCAGATGCAAATGAGCCCAATGTGAGGCAGGCACTCTGATGAAGTCACTAAAGCCATGCCAATTACGTGGAGAGAGAAGGGCCTTTAGGTCTTCGAGTTCAGAGGCAATGATGACGCTCCGTTCCCTGAGCATTTATTTGGTGCCTATTGGTGCAGCCTCACTGGCCTTTAGAGGGGTCCTGGAAGCAGGGCTCCTGATCCATCAGGAGATACTGAGGGTCTCAGAGGCAGTCTGCCTTATCCCTGGAAACTGTTCATCAATCTCTGCTGGAAAACACATGTCCTCTCACTTCCGTAGCTACATGCTCTGACACGGGTGTTCTGCAGCACCTCCCAGCCCTGTCCCAGCAGCCCACACCCGCACCCACAGGCCTGCGCCAGTGAACAGGAGGGCAGCGGCCTTACTTTGGTGTGGTCCAGATTCCACAGGGCGTTGAAGATCCTGTGCAACTCACTGGTGCCCCTGAGGACCTGTGTGATGAAGGTGTCCCACTGTAGGCTCAGCTCCTCCTGAGGACGGCTCTAAGACAAAGACAGGGGGGTCAGCATCTTCAGGAAGGGGCACAGACTCTTCAGTAACGGTGGCGACTTTCTGCAGGGGACTTCCCAACAGGAAGAAGACATTGGGATGGCCAGGCCTGTCTCATACCATCCCTGCCATGTCTTAGCTCTCACTCCAGTGAGCAGTCCTGTCCCAGAACCAGGAAACATCCTGAAGAAAGGGGTACCCACCCAGAGAGGAGGGGAGAGCAGACACATGGGGACTTAGGCATCACTAAGCCACCTTGTCACACAGCACCATGTACTATAGGTGTCAGGCCCTGTATTACAGAGACAGATTCATGTAATACAAAGACAGGTCCAAGGAAGGCTTGGTCCCAGCAGTGCTGATTTTGAAGGGCCCAATGCCCCTAGCAATCTGCACTTCTACCTTATAGGCCAGGGACACAGGACCCATGTAGAAATGAAAGAATCCGATGAGTTGATCCAGAAACTGCCTGCAGCTGACATCCGAGAGCTCCACACCACAGCCCAGAGCCTGCAGAGGGAAAGCAGAAAGACAGTTCTTATGGCTTTCCTCTGAGGCCATAACCAGAGTCCAGACTCTCCAGGGCACCTGCCACAGGCCCACCTAGTCAGGTGGGATGATAACCAGCCTGGGCTGCAAACAGAGCATGTGCCAGGTTAGCCTGGGCTACAGTGAGATCCTGATGGTCAGCCTGGGCTACTGGAAGATCCTGTCCAAAAACTACATCTTCTAGAGCATTACCCTGTGAGGGACCGAGACATGGTTCATCAGCGGGGCATTTACCTAGCATGTGTGAGGTCTCAGTTTGGAAAAAAAGGACCGCCACTCTGTGTGAGCCAGGAGGAAGAGTCATTTGATCAATGGACTTGATCCCAGGACAGAAACAGGGGAAGAGCTTCAGAAATACACAGTGAAAAAAAAAAAAAAGAGAAGGAAAACAACACAAACAAAACCCACCTGGGAGCTGGGAAAGCAGCAGACAGCCAGAGTCACATAGGTCATGGGTGGGGACAAGGGAAGAGAAGCCACTTCCAACAGACAAGCAGACAAAGTCCTACTTCCAGGACAAGCCCACAGCACTCACAAGGGAGACAGGGGGCAAGTCAGTGGCAGAGGGAAACCCTACCTGTCACAATGCTGTGCAGCAGTTCCCTCTGAGGTTAGAACCTTCCATCTCAGAGGGAAGCTTTTTTTTTTTTTTTTTGAGACAGGGTTTCTCTGTGTTGTTTTGGAGCCTATCCTGGAACTCGCTCTGTAGACCAGGCTGGCCTTGAACTCACAGAGATCTGTCTGCCTCTGCCTCCCGAGTACTGGGATTAAAGGTGTGTGCCACCAATGCCCGGCCAGAGGCAAGCTCTTTTAAGACTGGGGTGTTTACAGTGAAACACTCCATCCTACAGACAAGCTCCTTAGGCTCAGGAAGGAAACAACTCAGGAGCTTCAGCAGTTCCTGGAACTGAGCAGATTCACTAGGCCCCAAGAGGATATAGGTGGTAAAGACTGCTAAGAGTCTCTCTCAGAGGAGCCATTTCCCAGAAGATGCTCAGACCAACTGAGGCACCAGGAAATGACACTCTCCAACCTGTTGAGCCGCCTGTAGGCTGTGCAGTATTCAGGTTTCCAGCTTTGTGAGCTGTCACCTGTGCTGGTTGGACTTTAGTGACGTCGTCATCTTTGAGTTGTCTCTACTCCTGTTAGAACCCCTTAACACACCTATATCCCTATTAGTGGCTCCAATAAACTCACTGGCTCACCAAATGGGGCTTTGGTGGTATCTATACTTTGGTCTACCACAGCCTCCTATCTAGGGCAAGTAATAACTATACTGGTTAACTTTATGTCAACTTGACACAGGCTAGAGTCATCTGAGAGGAATCCCCAGTTGAGAAAATGACTCCATGATATAGGACTGTGGACAAGGCTATAGAAAATTTTAATTGGCAATTGATGTGGCGAGGCTCAGCCCATTGTGGGTGGGGCCATCCCTGGGTTGGTGGTCCAGGGTTCTACAAGAAAGCAGGCTGAGCAAGCCACAAGGAGCAAGCCAGTGAGCAGCTCCCCTTCATGGCATCTGCATCAGCTCCTGCCTCCAGGCTCCTGCCCTGTTTGAGTTCCTGTCCTGACTTCCTTCAGTGATGAACAGTGATATGAAAGTTTAAGCCAAATCAACACTTTCCTCCACAAATTGCTTTTGGTCACTGTGTTTCATCACAGCAATAGTAACCCTGACTAGGACCAAACTGTTCCATCTCCCCAGGGAAAACAACACACACACTATCTGCCATGATGGTTCATGGCTATGGGAAGACTAGAGTCCACAAGAGAGTAAAACCACAAATTTTATGTCAAGCTGCAGCTATTGGTGAAAGAGCTATCAGCCAGGCCTGCTTTATGCCTCTGTAGCCACTTGCTGCTGGAAACCGCCTCTTATGGTGACCTGTCACACAGACCAAAACTGAAACCCACCAACGAGGAGAAAATTCAAGAGTGACACCATGACAACTTATAAATGCTCTTGAGTGGCTGGGCGTTGGTGGTGCACACCTTTAATCCCAGAACTCTGGAGGCAGAGGCAGGAGGGTCTCTGTGAGTTCGAGGCCAGCCTGGTCTACAGAGTGAGTTCCAGGACAGCCTCCAAAGCAATACAGAGAAACCCTGTCTGAGGGGGGTTAGGAGAAGCCCTGAGTGACTGCAGCTGGGCACTCTGGTTCTCCGGGCTCCCTGAGGCACTGGTGCGATTAAACTTCATTCTCCACTCTAGTTTCAGGTGTCTGTCCTGAGAGTGGCATTTCTACATCAATTGAATGCTATCTTGTTGAAAACTGAGCTAACCTGGCCTGAGGTCACAGGACACCCACAGGCCGGGAGCTCTAGTGTGGCTGTTACAAGCCCTGTGAGGGAAGGCTCAGAGCGGGGGTACACCGCAGGAAGACGGGGCACTGACAAGCCGAAAGGTGTAGGCGGTAGGAGGTGGGCGCAGGCTGGGAAGTGCATTAAGAGTCACAGCCCTGTCCTTGGTGGCCATGAATAGAGCTCACCAATTGAGAGTAATGTTGGGGGCTTGATAGCTCTGAACCCAAGCCGAGTGGGTGGGTGAAATCTGTCTGTCAAAGCTGCAGAGCCCCAAGAACTCTGAAGTCGGAGGGTGTGCATGGCACCCACAAGAGCGTCCTTCCAGCAGGTGGCTGACACTCAGAAGGTCTTTGGAGGAGGAAGTGAGTCCTCTGCTGTACACGTCTGGTGCTACGGTAGCTTCCAATGCAGAGGGCATTGTGTATAGGTGTGCCACCACAGTGCTGTCATCTTCCTACTCCAACCAAGTCATGACGTCCCCGTGGCTCAGGTTCAGGCAGACAGGAAGAAAGCCACACAAGGCCAAGTGTAAGCAGCTAGTAAGATTTGGATCATTTTTTCAGGGATGCAGAATTCCTTGAGGCATGCCACGTGTCAGGGCCCAGGCTAGGAAGAGGGTTTAGGTGGATCAGATGGCAAATGGGACCAGGACACACAGAGAAGGGCATCAGGTACACATGGCTTGTCCCAGAAGCCTCCTCCCACGGCTCCAAGAGAGAGGGACACGTCCCCCTGCTTCCTGATGCTCCCATGGGCCTCCTTGCGAGGGGGCAGGAAACACCTGTGCCACAAGCCAAGTGATTTCCTCCCGGGGGAAGTTCCTCAGCTGTCCTGTACAACAGGGAGAACCAACCAGTAGAGCCGCCATGCTGGGGGCCAATGCTTCGCAACTGCTCTTTTCCTGGGAGGTCATCCTCCTCCATGTCCTTCCTGAAAGCATTTATTCCACACTCCGGGCCTTCTCAACTTTCACTGTAACCGCAGGACAGAGGTGGAAGTCAGGGCGCAATTCTGGGGCGGCGTTCCCTTCCCCACACTTCAACACCAGCCATGGCATCGGGAGGACGCTCACGCCACTGGGAACCCAGTGATCAAGGAGGGAGTACAAATCCAGAGGAACAGACCCAGACTGCGCCCATGCCACACTGCGAAGGGGAGCTAAGAACCTGGAACCTCTTGGCCCTTGGTGTCGTCCCTCCCTCCCAGGGCGCACAGCGAAGGTCACGGGTGCAAAGGGTCTTCCTCGCTCCCCACAGCGACACAACTGATGTGTCTGGCTGTGAGAGCCCTGGTGCTGCACGCCACAGGCATAAAGTCGCTGCACTTTTCTTCCAACCTCGATGTACACTAGCCTACAGCTCCAAGCCCAGGATCTATCTGGCTCCACTTCACCACCACAAGCCCCGCCCACCACAAGCCCCGCCCACCAGACAAATCCGTCGCCTAGGCCAACAGTCCACATTCTGCTCTACCTGGGCCAACACTAGGAGGCAGTTACCAGTGACTGTAGGACCGGGAAGATGAACAGAAGGGACTACTGTTGCCAGGAGAAGGTGCTGAGCTTCTGAGCCTCGGGCATCAGGATCTGGGAGGGGCAAAGCCCTACAGCCAGGAGAGGAGGGGCTATGGAGTCCCAATGCCAAGACCCTACTACTTGGGACACCAGGGGCAGAAGACCCACCCTTTTCCACCACAGGCCAGCAGGCAGGGCTGCTAGACCACGGTCACTTCCTTCAAGGAAGGAGGAGCCTGCTTTTACATACCAAGGCTTCTGTTACAGTCCTCGTCTGACCAGGAAGAAGGCCATATGCGACTTTCGGGTGAGATGGCCAGAACTGGTTTTCCTGGACCAGAAGAAAAAGGAAAAGGGGCTTCCACTAGTTGGTCAAAACCCCTCTGACAAGCAGGCCCATGAGGCCAGTGCCTGCTCCTCAGTGATCAGCATCAGCAAAGTAGACCTGGAGAGCAGTCCCAGTGAGCACCTAGGTTCCAAAGGAGGGTTTGCTGTGGGCCCCCGCCCCCCACCTACAGAGTCTGCTCATGTGACCATTCTTAACCGCTACCTGAAGCCAGAGTTGATGACCCGGCTGGAGAGGAAGGTGAAGAAGAAGACAGTGGCCGCCATGAGGAAGATAGAGCAGGAGACGGAAGCGGTGAACAGCCGGCGGTCAGCGCTGATAATGGACTACAAGGACCTGAAGCGGGAAATAGAGTGGGAGGAAACAGAGAGCAAGCCCTTCCTGGAGTGCCTGAAGCAGAAGAAGGAGGAGAGCCAGAGGAAGTATGACTCCCTGTGGAAAGATTACATGCAGCAGTGTCAGGAGATAGAGGACAGGAGGAGAGAGCTGGTCTCTGCCTTCGCCTCCCGCACGGCCGAGCTCCAGAAGCAGCTGTTGCAGAGCAGGAAGCTGGAGGTCAATTTCAGGAGGAAGCTGATGGCCCTGAGGCCTATAGCAGAGGTAAAGGAGAGCCAGGACCGGGAGAAAGAGGCCTTAGAGCTAGAGGAAGCCAGCATTGTAGCTGACATTCCCTTAATGGACCAAGAGGCACACTTCCAGTTCCTGAAGGAAAGGGCCGCCCTGGAGAAGCAAGTGGAGGAGCTGAACCTGCTGGAGTCAGGAGAGGACATCACCAGGGAGCTGAAGAAGAAGGTCAAGGCCTTGGAGGCTATGGCCAAACAGGCTCACAAGGACTTCTGTCAGGGCATTAACGCCGAGAATAGTCAGCTTCAAACACAGCTCCGGCAGCTGGATCAGGAATTCCGTAAGCTGGAAGCCAGAAAGGAGAAGCTGGAGCAGAGAAAGCAGCTGTGGAAGGAGCAGCAGTGGTACCTGGAGGCTCTGGCCCGAGGGAGGCAGCGCCTGCAGCAGAGGGAGTACCGCCCCCCCAAACCACAGGCTGCTCCCCACCCAACCCGGGGCCATCTCCTGGGTGCCAGGCTGAGAACCAATCCTAAGTGAGAGCTGCCATGTCCCAGGAAGCAGACTGGAGCTGGAGTTGGGAGTAGCACACCAGAAATGAAGATGCTCTCAGGATAATGCAAAGTACCAAGGGGATGGAGGGCTGAGCTTCTCAGAGGGGCAGAGGGGTCCTGGCTTGGTCCCTTCACAGCAGCCCAAAGGGCTATCCTAATGGAAAGTTTCACAGCATTCGGAAAGCTTTGCTCTTTAGACTCTGTACCTTCCATGACAACAAGTTCCCTGCTGTGGTGTAGACTTTGGTGCTCAACCCTGCTCTAATGTGGACTTCATGACAACAGACGCGTTTGCAATCGGCACCTTCCACACAGTCACCCATCTCACAGTGGTGGGACTGGTGTCTTAGGTGGGTGCTGCGAGTTATTTGGGGAATGGGTTCTTTGCATTTGTGTGTGACTGAGGCTGGATTGGTCTGCAGAGTGGTGGGCTGTGATGTGGTGTGTGGCACTGGGTTTGGGCCGTGTGCACCTGTGTGACAAAATATAGACAGCTCTCTCAGTCCTGGGCATTGCTGCAGGCAAAAAGCCTCAGCATTACATTGTAGAAGTTTAACGTTTACTTAGCTTTAAAATGAACTCATTTAAAACTGTGCTGAAAATGAATTGCTGAACGTACCTTTGGCTTACAGATTTAACTTGCATGTGAAATGCTTTGTTCTTAAACACTGTTACTGAAAAAAATAAAGTCTGCCTGTTATTGTTCAAAAATAAAAGTCTGTTTATCCTTACCCAAAACAAAAGCCTACTTGTGATTGGTAAACATTAAACGTGAAGGTAAGGGGACACAGAGAGAAGGAAGGTGAAAGACAGAATCGAGACAATGGAAGACTTAAGAGCAAAGTGTCAGTACTGGCTGTCCATGTTGCTGGGCACAGGGCACCCGAAGGGTTTAAGATGGAGTGGCATCATGGCAGGTAGGTCCAGCAGGTGGCCATGTCTTAGTATTTGAAGCTGATGGGCTACCACCCCCTCTGCCATCTCCATCTATTTCCTATGTAGTATGTACTGCTCTGTGTGTCTTGTGTGGTCCTATGTAGGTATTAGTGGTCAGAACTGAGCAGCAAAGAACTAAAAGGTTGCTGGCAGGTCGTGTGATACCAACCCCAGTAATCCCACCCAACACTGTCTCAGCACCTTAGTCCGGTGTGGTTGCTTTAGGGAGATTGCAGTCAGTCCTCATCATGTCTCCCAGCTTCCTCAGCACCACCCCCAGTCGGCCTACCCTAGCAGAGCGCTCTCTCTCTGCCTTGCATATATTCCTGTCTCCTGACTGTTTCCAAGTAGCCAGGCGCCCCAGAGTCCTCATCTGCTGAGTCACAGACATGCCATTTCTTGGCACAGTACATGTGGTCAGTGACCTGTAGGAAAGTGCCGGCTAACGAGGCTGCTTACCAACGGGAACGGTGAGCTTGCTCCGTGCAGCACAGGCACAGAATTTATTCGGAATGCTGGGTGAGGCTTGAGTGAACAGGTGGATGGTGAGCAGGCCTGCCTGGCGCTGCTTCCTAGGAGATCTGTGGCTAACCTCAGGTCCAGGCAGTGTGCAGCCTGGTGGATTCCATCCTCCCTTTTCTGATCTACGTGCAGTAGCCAAGTCTTCCAGTTGTGTTCATTTTAAACCCCACCACAGCCCTTAGACATGAGGCAATGTGTTCTGCTCAACTCTTCCCTGGGGTAGAAAGAGAGGAGGAACATCACCTCTCACTGCACAAGGCTGGCCAGTGTTTCCCTGACCTAAAGCAGATGAGGACACAACATGGGAAGAACACACAGTCCAGTCTCTCTCACCAAACATAGACACAAAAACTTCCAAGTCTGGGAAACTAAGGTCAAGAACACAGTGAAGACAGCCATGGTGCTTTAGTTCCAGCACTTGGGAGGCAGAGACAGATGGATCTCTATGAGTTTGAGGCCAGTCTAGTTTACAAAGTGAATTCCAGGACAGCCAGGGCTGTCATACAGAGAAACCCTGTCTTAAAAAAACAAAATAAACAAACAGCTCAGAGCCTTCAAGTTCAGGTCAGAGAAGGTGCAGCGTGAAAGTAGCAAATGGTATGAAGCAATCCACACAGTCAATTCAACCCCCATCAAAATCCAAACACCGTTCCTCAAAGAACTAAAAAAAATCCTAAAATTTACATGGCAAAATAAAAACCAAACCCGGATGAGAAGCAATGCCAGGCCTGTCACCACAGAGTCATAGTCACAAGACCAGCATGGCACCACCCTAAAAGCAAACCTGGAGATTAATCAAAGAGAACAGGGCCAGCAACACAGCAACACTGCTTTAGCCACCTAAGTTTTCAGAGAGCTCTCAAGGAAGGCAGCTTCCTTAACTAAACACACACCTGGGCTGGAAAGACGGCTCAGTGAGTAAAGGCACTAGCTGCCAGGCCTGATGATAAGAGTTCAATCCCAGAGACCTACATGGAAGGAGAAAACCAACTCCAGCAAATTGTTGGACTCTTACCTACACACAGCCATCATAGTATGCATGCTATGGTACAGACACTCTGTGATCTCTTGAGCACAGACACACACACACACACACACACACACACACACACACACACACACACACAGACTCTGAATGAATGAATGAATGAATGAATGAATGAATATCAACATGAGTTGAATCGGGGATGATCCATAATGCACAATGTACCCATAAATCATAATGAAACCATGGCATCTGCAGAATCCATAGAAATCAGTATAGTAAGCAAAACAATGGCTTTTGGGACCCTATTCCTCATACTGGGTTGCCTTGTTCAGCCTTAATACAAGGGGAGGAGCACAGTTTTACTGCAACTTGATATGCCATGCTTTGTGGATACCCATGGGAGGCCTGCCCCTTTCTGAACAGAAACAAGAGGAGTGGAGGTGGGAGATGGGAGGGGAAACTGCACTGTGGTGCAGATGTAAAATAAATACATTTAATAAAAAAGATCTGGAAGGATATATACCCCTTGTTTTCTATAGAGAACTTAGATTTATTTTTTATATTTTGGGGGAGGCAGGGGTCACAGCAGACATGTGGTCAGAGCAGGTAGGGGTCAGAGCACAACTTGAAAGAATAGGTTCTCTACTTCTACTATATGCATCTTGAGGAAGCCAGAAGAGGGTATCAGATCCCCTTGAACTGGATCACAGATGATTGTGAGCCACCATATGTGTGCTGGGAACTGAACCCAGGTGCTTGGGAAAGCTTAACCACCGAGCCAGCTCTCCAGGTCCATGAGTCATGAAGTCAAAAAGAGGATTATGGAGATCATTAGGAGGTAAGAACATTTTTTTTTTTGAATAGGGTCTCTACTGTGCTGGAACTTACTGTGTAAACCTGGCTGTCCTGGAACTCAAGATATTCACCTGCCTTTGCCTTCTGAGTGCTGGGATTAAAGATGTGGCCACCAAAATGGGCCAAGAAGACCCCTTTTAAGGAGGTTGGAAATTGAGAGGACAACGGGACATAGGTAACAAAAACAGGAACAGAGAACTGAAGAGACACAGGTGCGTGACAACGCCATAATGTGACCTGCTGCTGTGTGCGCCCTCCACAGACACCAAGCACTTCTGTCCTGTCAACGGGGCTGGCCTGAAGTGCCCATTCCTGCTCATCCCTGGTCCCACCTTGGCTCAGGTGCACTCAAGCCTGCTCAGTGAGCTGTACCTATGCCGACCTCCCTTCTGCCATGTACTGAGGCCTACTGTGACACTGCATGTTAAACTGGGGTGCCATGACAGACAATGCAGAGATGGGGAGCAGGAGGTAACAGAGTCCCGGCAGTCCTACGTGGGTGATGCTGAGGCCAGGGCCTGCTTCTCTGGAAGGCGGTGCTTAGCTACAATGTGAGCCTGCCTTAGAACCACTGGGCTGGAAGAAAGTCACTAGGAATGTGACATCATCAAGGAACCTGGATGGAGCTGGGCGGTGGTGGCACATGCCTTTAATCCCAGCACTCAGGAGGCAGAGGCAGGTGGATCTCTGTGAGTTCGAGGCCAGCCTGGTCTACAGAGTGAGTTCCAGGACAGCCTCCAAAACAATACAGAGAAACAAAAACAAGGAACCTGGATGGAGGGGACCCAGGCTGTCTTGTGGTGGGAGCCGTATGAACTGCTGCCCCACTCCCACCCCAGGACGACTGTACTGTATACTCAGGACTCCCAGTCATACCCACAACTTAACTGCAAGAGCAGCTCTGGCCAGAGCCACTGGGAAAGGGACTGACTGCAGGAGAGACATTGTCCATCCCAAGACTCACACAAAGCTATAAAAATCACAGCCCGTGGAACTTGCCGAATCTTCAAGCAGACCAAGACCCATGCTCACAGTTCCCTCACTTGTGACTCAGTGAAGGCGCAGGAATGCTGGATAACCAGGTGGGAAAAAAAACTACCCTTGACCTCCACTCTCACCAGCCACAGACAGAAGTCCAGGTGGGTTTATAAACACAAATTTAGAAGCAAAAACAATCAAACTTTTTTTAAAAAAGAAACTAGAGACCAAACCAGTAGGTAATAGTTTCTTAGGCTAGGGAAGGCAACAGCAACAAGATAACTGGACACCATCAAAACAGAGGACAGTGGCTCACCAAGGAAAAGTGACAGGCATGCTACAAACCCGGTCTCCACATACACACACATGTACATAGACACATGCATACATACATGCACGTGTACATGCACACCAGACATGTGCAAACATAGATGAGTAAAAATAGCATCAGGAAATCTCCCATAATCTAGCCCAGGCCGTATCTGAGATGTTTGGGGGAGGGGCTGTGGTGTTGCTCCAGGGCAGAGCACTTTCTTGACATCTTGAGGCCCTGGCAGGTTCTCCCCTTCAGTGACAGCAGTGTTCAGAGAGCACTGAGGACTGAGGAGCAGCTGCAGTCACAGGAAGGCCACCACACTCCCACACCAGCTATGTGTCTTCAGACTCAACTTACCCACAGGTAGTCTCCATCCACCCTGATGGCAAATTTGAGCTTCCGCAGGCGGATGAGCGTGGGTGGGGTACCAGAAAGGTCCCACAGGCAGCGTACAACTCCAGCAAGCTGGCCACAGATCAGCTCCTGTTGGTCCAGCAGGGTCTGTGGGAGAAGCAGACAACATTTGACCTGATTGCTCTGCGCAGACCAGCATCTGTCCCCATTTTCCCAGGCCAAGGATAGCTTTTACGGTTTTTAATGACTATCACATGCGTTTCTGTGTGTGCTCGTGTGTGAGTGGGGCATCTGCACTGTAGCACCTGCATGGAGATCAGAGGACCATTTTGGACGTCAATTTTCCATTATGGGTTCCAGTATAGTGATACATTTGCCCGTGAACCTGTAACAGTGGCCACGCCTTTTGACCATTAAAAGGGGCAGATTGGGACCCCTCTGAGGTCATGGAGGCAGGGTCTGCATCCTTGGAACAGGAACACCGCAACAGTCACTTACTGTTTTCTGTGTAAGTTCTTCCCCCAATAAAACACCACTTGTCATTTATACTGTGTCTGGTGAATCCACAATTTCTACACCTTCATTCCAGAGATTGTGTTTTTGACTTGCTGAGCCATCTGGCTAGTAGTGTGTGTGTGTTTTGGTTTTTGCTGTTGTTGTTAAGACAGTATCTTATTGTGTAGCCTTGACTGTGCTGAAACTCAGACCATGTAGAACAGGCTGGTTTCAAACTCAGAGATCCATTTGCCTCTGCCTTCCCAGTGCTAGGATTAAAGGTGTTCACCAACACCACCCTGCCAGTTTTTATATTTTTAAGGGTCATTAAGAAACAGCAACAGCAGCCGGGCGGTGGTGGCGCATGCCTTTAATCCCAGCACTCGGGAGGCAGAGGCAGGCGGATCTCTGTGAGTTCGAGGCCAGGCTGGACTGACAGCCTCCAAAACAATACAGAGAAACCCTGTCTTGTAAAAGCCAAAAAAAAAAAAAAAAAAAGAAAAGAAAGAAAGAAACAGCAACAGTTGAGTTTGGTGGTCTATGCCTAGAATCCTCCTGACACAAAAGAATCCAGAGTTCAAAGCTATGTTTCTACTCCAAGGTCTGGAGTTCGATTCCCAGTATCCACATGGCAGCTCACAACCATCTGTAACCATCCAGTCCCAGGGGATGTGACCACCTCCTCTGCCCTCCTTGGGCACTAGGCATTAGCATACATGTAGACAAAACATTCATATGCATAAGGTAAATGTTAAAAAAAGAATCAAGAGCAGCCTGGCTCACAGAGCATACTATCTCCAACCCTCTTCCCACCACACAAGAAAACCAGCAAAAGAGAGTGCACTGTGGTGTCCTGGTGACTCTCAAGTTGGGCTTTCATAGTCACTATTGGCTGTTGGTAATGTGCTGTTAGAGAACCTCACAGTGAACACAGACAGCAAATCACAGCGTCACCACACGGGGGGGCGCGACGGACGATGACGGCACGAACATTCCCTGAACCATGGCACAGCCACACAGGACAGGATGTATCGGGAAGTACATATGCCACCCATGATGACATCCTAATAGATCACGGATCTCTAGAGCTTGCTACGGATGCAGAGAGAGGAAATCAGTAGACCAGATGTCACCATGGGGAGGTGACCATCCCAAGCCGGAGCATGGCATTTTACATGGCAGCTCAGTAATCTGAGGGAACAAGGAGAACACAGGATGGCTGGCATGTGAGGCTAAGCAAGCTATGGGTGTCATTGGTATCCTCTGATAAGGGGGATGGGAGAGGAAAGGAGCTAGAGAAGGAGGCAGGCAGGGCTGGTCACCAGAGTAATGTCAAAGAGACAGCAACAATTAGAATCTGGCTGAGCACCTATGGACACTGAAGAAGTGCTGTCACTCATGGTCACTCTTGTCAGGTGTGATCATGAAACAGTACACTTTCCATTAGACACGACGAGACTTGATACTGATGGGCAAAATGACACAATGTCTAGAACTTGCTTTAAACTTCTCTAGGGAAAAAAATAAGAGAGATGATAGGGAACATAAAATCTGCAGTGCTCAGCCAGGCGGTGATGGTGCACACCTTTAATCCCAGCACTCAGGAGGCTGGGACAGGTGGAGCTCTGTGAGTTTGAGGCCAGCCTGGTCTACACTGCTAGTTCCAGGAGAGTCAGGGCTACACAAAGAAACCCTGTCTCAGAACAAAACAAAACAAAAAAGAAATGCAGTGTTCACAGCTGCCAACACTAGGATGGCATGTAAGAGTTTGTAGTATTCTCTACTTTTCTGTTTGAAAAAAACCTTCTTGAAACTGGCTGATCAAAGACTTAAAGACAGGACACAGACAAAAAACTCCTGCTTCTGACAGCGAGGAAGAGAGGAGGACTGAACTGCCTGGGAATTAAGATCAAGACAAGAGTATTGCCTAGTGGCATCATGGGCCTGTCAGCCCAGCAGCTATGCAGGCTGAGAACTCAGTGAGAAACTGTCTCAAAACTCAAAAGATAGACAGACAGACAGACAGACAGACAGAGGACTGGTGAGAGGGCAAAGCATACATGTGGCCCCAAGTTTTATCCCCAACATGTCTTAAAAGAGGTCGTGTGTACTGATGGCCATGCTTACCTGGGAGGGGTAGAAGTAGCAGATGCCAGCTCTGGTTGGGTCTCCTTCTCCCTTTACCTTGGAACCATCATACAGAAAAAAGTAGTTCCACCTGGTAAGAAAACAGAAAAGAACCATGGGTCCCCACTGGTGACAATAAGCTCATAACACTTCCTCTCTTGTCTCTGGCTCTGGGAGGGCTTAATGCTCAGCTGCCAGGAAGAGTCCAACAGATAAACCCACTGCAAGTGCAGCACAGGCAGACTAAAGATAAGCCTGTCCCTAGCCATCAGCTCATCCACAAGAGGAAGCAGCTGTCCCTGCAGGGAACCAGATCACCGGCTGTGAGTTGCCTTTTGAAACCCTCACCCCTAGCTGCACAAGCACACTGCCTGCAATGCTTTCTTGCTGTTTCTCTAGGTTCTGGTAATAACAGAGACTGAGGTATCTTCACTGCACTCCTTTCCTAAGCATGCTGGTGAGAAGCAGCCATGTTCCTGAGGACTCACTCCACAGATGTATGGAGGGCCTGCAGCAGGCATGCCCATCTATAAGGGGAAGACAGCAGCCTTTCAAAGTTGACAGGAAAACACCACTGAGCCTCCAAACCTTGCTAGCAGCCCAGTCATGCTTCCTCCCCACCCTTCCAGATTTCTCAGCGTAAAGTAATCTTTCTTCGGAGTTTCTAGCACCTAAGGTCTGCACTCTTCTAAACACTTGCAGCCAACCCAGACAGATCTCACTCTGTAGCCCAGACTGACCTCAAACTCCACAGCCTCCTGCCTTTGCCTCCCTCCCAAGTTCTGGGACTGCAGGCTTTGCCAGGACGTCTGGATTTGGAAGACTCTCTAAACTTCACCTGATTGCACAAGGTGAACTACGCAGAGACTGGGCTTCAGTTTTAGTTCTTAGACTCAGAAAGCATACCGGCAAAGCCGGAGCAGACCAGGAAGGGACACAACACTGCCACTGGAGCTGTTCTCACAGGACTCAAGGCCTTCCCTGGACCTCCCACTTCACGTTCCTCATGACAGACACCTGTCCCAGCACCATCCACTTTCTCAGCCACAGGTTAGATGGCGATCAAACACATGTGTGAACTTTCAAAGCACATGGTGTACCACCCACCCACCCCTGTCGCCCCCACACTCTGAAATCAGCCCTGCTCCTCTAGGTACACTGTACCTTAGGTATCATTTGGAATGGCTTCACACGTGATCAGTCACTCTGTCTGCTGAGTCTAGTTCAGCCACACCTTACACTGTTACCTCTGGAGCATTTGCTGAACCAGGGTATGAATAAGGATAAAGCTACAGAGAGTACACGAGGGAACCAAGTTTTAAGCAGACGTTTCGCAACAGCCTTAGGAACCAGACTGGCTAAACCTCAACTGCAACCATCCTGCTTCTTCACAGCCACAACCACACCCAGGTGCTCATCAAGACTGGCTGCACCATCACAATCATCTACCTACAGAGCTCGAGGTGGGGTCTGCAAGATGTTCTGGGTTATGCTTATTTTGGCTGTATTAGGGATTGCACCCAGGGCCTCTCCAATGCTAGATGAACACTCTACCACTGGGCTATATCCCCAGCCAAAAACTTGCAAGGTGCAAACACATAAGCTCTGGGGAGAAATGGTTTCCATGATTAATGAGGTTGTTGTAAGCAGAAGAGCAAGACTAGCTGGCCCAAGCTTCCAGGTCACTCAGACGACCCCAGAAGCAGTCCCAGATGGGCCTTGACACTCACCACGAGGCTGACTTTATCTCTGGGGGTGTGGGGGTGGCCATTTACTCTCCAGCTGGCCTCATCCTCTTCACCTGGTATTCTTCCTAGAAGCACTTCTCTGTCCCCAACTGGTGTCCCCAGTCCAGTGACTCCAGATGTGGTCAAGCCAAGTGGTTTCTGCCACTTACTTACTTTTCATTCAACATGAAAACGCAACTTCCTTTCAGGGAAGGTTCCATTCCAGGAATACCTCTGCATCTCTGACAAGTTCAGGAGGAAACAGTCTGAAGACGAGCTACATCTACTCAACAAGTCAGATCTACAGTTTGATTTCAGGAAAATCCATGTGGCTGTCAGCACTGGGACCTCTTCCAACTCCTCTCGGGGAGTTCCACTGGAGGCACAAGCATATCAGAGGGCAGAGGTGGCTTCGGATAGGTTCTCTAGCTTTATGAACAGTTCAAAGCCAACCAGTGGATTCCTTCAAATGCTCTCGAGTTTCCAGTTCACGCACCAGCCATCTCAGCTCTGAGTAAACACAAAGAATCAATTCTTTCAGAAACCCATGAGCATGCATGTGACCCACAAGGTTCAATGAATAGCTGATCTGAAAGCTATGCTTCAAAATAAAGAGAGTGGGTAGCAGGGGCTTCAAAGTCCCTTCATTTCTTAGCAGAAGACTGGTCAGCCTTGCAGAAGGGAAACTAAATGACAGGTGTGAAGGCTCTGGGTGTTAAGGAGCCACACAAACCAAATGCTTGCTGAGTGACAGTGGAACCTAAATTAAGGAACTGGCACTGGGAAGCCTGATCTGAATGTGCGCAGTTTTTCAGGATGCAAGAAGAGAACTTCCAGAGTGCCCTTCATTGCAAACTCCCGCCAGGAGAGGCCAACGCAGGGTACCACCGAATACCCAGTCAGAAAGGAACCTGGCCTCACTTACTCTAGTCCTTGGCTCCTCCAAGGAACTGTCCAGAAACAGGTGGTTCAAGGCGTTAAAATTACTATCCAGGAGGCCAAACTCTCCTGACAGTAATCTTCCACTGTCGGGATAGCACTAGGAAAAAACACAACAATGATCTAATCCTTCCCCTTGGCAACCCTTCAGCAATTTTCATCTATAGTCCTGTTCCCACTTCTCGGGTTAATTCCCTCAAGGACGCAGTCTCCAAAGCAGGCCACAATTCTGACATCTGTGGAAACAGTGTGTTAAAGTTTCTTAGGGAAGGAGACAAGCCTTTAATCCCAGCACCAGGGAGGCAAAGGCAGGCAGATTCCCGAGTTCAAGGCCAGACATGGCTACAGAATAGGACCCTTGTCTTAAAAGCAAGCAAAATCCGTGAGGAAGAAGGAAGTGCCTGACGGAGATCCCCTATGAACCTGAGAAGGCCTAAAAACCTGTCATCTCAGTTACAGACACCTCGCGTTAGAGAGCACACAGGGCGTCTGTACAGGGGCATCTCAGGTCCTGGAATCCCACTCGCCCATTCCCAAAGGCCTGGTCGGAGGACCAAGCAGCTAGTTCCCAAAGGTCCAGATGAGGTCAGTGATCATCTTGTGGGCAGGGACCTGAAAAGTCCCTGGCAGCCAGGGAGGTGACAGCATGGGGATGGTGCGGACGCACGCAGGGACGGAGGCGTGGGAAGTGGTCTCCATGGGTCAGGAACTAGGCTGAGGGCCGTGGAAGCCAGGAAGCCGCAGCCTGAACGCCCGGGTCGCCCGTCCGCCCGCCCGCTCACCCACCCGCCGGGACCCCGGCTCCGTTCGGCTTGCACGACGGCACCAGATACCTGCTCCCGGCAGCCCAGCGATCACGCGCGGTCCCACCTCCCGCGTCTAGAGGCTTGGCGGTGACGCGCGGGTGTGACGCAACTTGTGATGTCACGACACGCCGGCCGCTCTGGCGCGTAGTGGCGACGTCGCCGGCATGGCGGCGGTCGTAGCAGCTCCGGAGTCCTGGAGCACCGTGGCTCCGAGGAAGAAGCGCTCAGCAGGGAGGCGGCCCCGGCGGGACGAGCGGCGTGCCCGCGGGCCCCAGGCCGAGCCGGAGGCGGAGAGCGAGGCTGTCCTGCGCCGCCTGCGGGAGGCCGAGTGAGTGCTGCGCCTAGAGCCCACGCCACCCTCAGGCTCCCCAACCCGGAAGTGGGTGTGCCAACTGGCTGGGGAAGGCTGAGCTCCCGTCGGGTTGCAAGCTGTGAGTGAAACTGCCGTTCCTCTTACTGCAGTTACAACAGCTTGTCATCCTATAACTTAGTTTGCCATTTTTTGAGATAGAGGTGGAGTTAGGATTGGGTGATGTGTTGTTTACCGGAAAGCACTTCCTGGGAAGCTCCAGGGACCCGAATTTCCTGTTCGTATTATGCCCTGGGTTGATTGTTTTCTTTAGTTGGTTGGGTTTATTTGTTTATCTATCTATTTATTTGAGGTTGAGGGGGGCGTGTGTCATATGCATATGTCGAGCTCAGAGGAACATTCCTTTCACTGCATGGCTAGGCTAGGGTGATCAAACACAGGTTGTCGGGCTTGACTGGCAAGTGCCTTCACCCTGGGAACCATTTTCCAAGCTTTGGTTTGGGGTTTGTGAGGCAGGATCTCATAGCTTAAGCTAGCCCAGCAGGCCTGGAACTGGAAGAGATTCTGCCCGTCTCTCCTAACGCTTGATTACAGGTGTGGACTACACCCCACATTGGGGTTATTATTAACAATATTGTAAATCAAGGTTGCATTGTGAACACAGCGGTCAACGTGGGCATCTGCGGTTGACTGAGCAGCAGCTGTGTGCACAGACTTTTGTATGCCGCATACCTCACAGCCCTATTAGGATCTTGGGCACTCAACGAGCCATGCAAAGGTCATTGTTGCAGACCCAGGCCTTGGTGATGTCAAACCCCACGCTTCTGTGTCTCCAACCATTTCCCCACAGCTTGGTCTGTATCTTCTTACAGGTCACATAGACGGCGCCCACCATACACAGGCTACTCTATATTGTTGCCTTTTCTAGTTGTGGTCTTGCAGGGCCAAGTTACAAATTTGGGTAGCATTTCAGATGGGTCAGAATGACTATGATGAGGGTGCCCGAAGTTATCTTTGAACAGAAATTGCTGGTGGCTAAGGGGGCAGATAGAAGTAAGAAGGAATTCTACAGTCTCTGAAGAGTGGAGTGATAAAGGTGCCCAAGTGCTTTCAAGGCACTCAATAGATAGCTGCTGTTTCCTCTACTTCTTCAGAATCTCCCAGAGTTCCCTGCTTCACCCAGCACCCCTACTGGGGTGCGGTTATCACTCCTGACTCCTGAGCATAGAGAATCTGATCCAGGGCTGCCTAGAAGTTTCAAAGTACTTTAATGTGTTAGAGTCTCCTTTCCCTTATGAGGAATGTAGATCCCCCCCCACGGCAGTTTCTCTCCTCTTTCTCGCCCCCTAAAGCCCCCTAAACACTGCCTCTGGCATATTTTAATTCACTGTTGACTGCTTTGCCCTAGGTGGTGGAAGCCAGTTGACTTGAATAAAGGCCCAGGCCCGACCCTTGGACTTTCTCTTTGACTTTCCCTCTAGGGTTATTTATAATGGGAAAGCTGTTTCTTGAGAGAAGGAAACTGATAAGAACAAGGATTTCCCAGTATTTATTGAGCTTCATCTGCCAGGCCAAAGATGCAGAACAAACTGAGACCATCCCTAGGAAACCAGAACCTCTAGATGGAGGTCCTGTTTTATCCCAGCAGTCACCATCCAGGCCATGGGCACGTCACTCAGTAAGGGCCATCTCTGCACTGGAGGGTCCTACAGCCTCCGTGTATCTGGCTCATATGAGGTCAGGACTAGGATGGCCCAAAAGAGAAGGGAGATGACCCTGCCGTTTCTTCTCAGGGAGGACCTTCGAAGCTCCGACTTCTGCGACTCAGCACTGGGTGAGTATTGTCTGGCATGGAGGAGCGGCATGGGAGTGGAAGGAGGGCCTGCCTGAAGGCAGGACAAAGGACATTCTTCATTGAAGGGCATGTTTCTTCACGGCCTTGCTTTGATGGATTCTGATGCTCCCTTCCGCAGAGCCATGTCTGTGGCTCTTACTAAATCTGAAGTGAAGATGGTAGTGTATGTAGCCTGCAGTTTCTATATCCTGTAGTTTCGAAAATTACAAAAATTGCTGTCACACCAAAGGCAATAGATAGCATCAGTCATTATCAGGATGACTAAAAGTTACATTTATCCTGCTTTTTCCTTGGCATCACACTGCAGACGTGCCCCCTGCAGTTATGCCCTCAACACAGTGTGTGTCAGCATGGTTCTTAGTGAAAGACAGACCGTGTGCTAGCCACTCAGATGCCTCTCATCTGCAGGCTGGCTGCAATCCCCAGGGTTGGACTGTTAAATGAAAGGCAGTATCAAGCTACTATCCAGAAATGTTTTAGGGTTCTCTTTCCAACAAGGGCATAGACAGTTTCTTGTACAGACTTCTCTTCCCTCACCTGGGGAACCTGTGCAAAGATAGCTTTGCCACCTTGGTGAGCAAAAACAGCTTGCTTAATGATAGAACAAATAACTTCTTTTGTTTATGACGGTACCCTAAAAGGAGGGCCAGGAGGTGGTCAAATCTCTTTGTAGAGGCCATTAGCATCCTACATACCCTCCAAGGACTTCCTGACAGTCAGCACAAATGTCTCAGTCACATGGTTTTAGATCCCTTTTAACACGATCTTAAGTCTGAGGCAGTAGAGTTCAGGATCCCACCTTCAGCGACTGCACACAGGTTTCAGACAGCTTCACTCTGGGTGTCCAGGCCTGTTGCCCGTCTTCCTAGCTCCAGGGGTCAGTGACTGTATTTGGGGTAATAATCTTTCAGAAACCATCACCCAGTGTCTTAGGAAACAGCTGGAGCAACTGCAGGACCTGACGGAAGCCCTTGGAAGGCTGACCCTCAGCTCATCACCTGGTGGGTCGGGAGAGCACTCGGCCACGAGCACTTCCCTTGTGAAGTGTGTTTGCTATGGCCTTGGGAACTTCGCCTCCAGTGTCACTGCGCGGAGCCAGCTCGCTTTTATGCTTCTCTTTCTGGAGAAGTGCCAGGTGAGTGACGTCATCGTCGCCATCTCTTCCTGCACGTGGTATGGTGGCAGTGTGCCTGGAAGTGAAGGAGCCCCTCTTCCCTTCCAGATCCCCAGAAGCCACTGCCAGGTCTATGACCCTCTGTTCAACCAAGCTGAAGTTTCAGTGCTCAATTCCCTTGGTGTGACTGTCCTCAGTGAGAATGAGGTAGGTGATGTCAGCTCCTCCAGACCACCCACCTCTGCCAGTGGACAGGCTTTCCTAGAGCACGCTGGCCTTCCTAGAGCCTGTGGAAACCCAGTAGCCAGTTTCATTTGAAACCGTTACACCCCACCATGAAAACTTGAATCAGCACCATGAACTAGTGTGATAGGTTTGCAAAACCCTTAAGCCCAGGGCTGGAGAGATGACTCAGCTGTTAAAAGCACTGGCTACTTCTCCAGAGGATGATTCCTAATACCCATGTGGAGGCTTACAACCCTACAACACTCACTTCAGACCAGCATATGCATGCTGTGCAGAAGAGCAAATGAGTGAGGCCAGAGACACCTGTAACCTGTAGATACAGCATTAAGGAGAGCCACGAGGGCTGTGTCCAAGACCACAGGCAGCTAGCTCCCTCCTGTGGAGGGAGGGAGGAAGAGCAGCACAGGGAGGCATGGCCAGACAGCTGTTAGTAAGAGGAGAGTGTGACCCCACTGTGATGAGGATCTGCAGTGATACAGGGTGCCTGGAAGATTCTGGAATGTAGGACATGAAGGCAGTCGTCCCATGGAATAAAGTGAGTTCGAGTTCCTGTCCCGTGAAGGCTTTTAGCTTACATCTACATAACTGATGTAGCCACGCCACAGAAGAGCTAGGCTTTGCACAGCTCCTTAGCACCCATTCTGCTATGGCTTCCACAGGAAGGCAAGCGCAGCATCCAAGGCCAGCCCACCGTCTTCTACATGCCACACTGTGGCACCGCTCTATACAACAATCTGCTGTGGAGCAACTGGTCCATAGACGCCCTTTCCAGGGTGGTCATCATTGGGAACAGTTTCCAGTGCATCCAGGAGAGGTGAGCCATTGTGAACACCAAGCCCACCTGTGTGCAGAAGGGCTCCCCACCCCCACCCCCAAGGGACTGGGTGAAAGGTTTAAGGCAGACATCAAACCCTGAGTCCAGCTTGAAGTGCTCTTTTGTGTGAAGACCACACTCTTAATCTAGTTTACAGCACCGGCCTGTGCCACCCGCTTCCCCACAGCTGCTTGCTGGGGTGTCTCATTCCACACCCTCCAACCCTTTCTGAACTCATCTCGGTTTTCTTGTTTTTGTTTTTGGCTTTTTTTGTTTGTTTGGTTTGGTTTGGTTTTTCGAGACAGGGTTTCTCTATAGCTTTGGAGGCTATAATTTGGGGGGAAAAAACCATCCATATACTCCCAGATTGTGTATAAATACTTTTATTTCTAGGTTGTTGGCAAGGATTCTGCAGAAAAATTATCCCTACATTGCAAAGGTATCTGCCAAGGGGTGGGGGGTGTGCAAAGCCACACTACCCACTGATGTTTCTAAGCACACAAAGCATAATATACTGGCAGGGGCTCTCCCCTGGAACCAGTCAGTGCCCAATTCCCTTCATTCTCAGGGTGAGTCCAGCATCCCCACTGCCTTTGGGACTCAAAAGCATTGATGGACAAATCCCCATTTCTTATTTTTCAAAAGGACAATGGGTGGCCAGTGAAGGGAAGGTATGCCAAGATAGCAGGGTCGTGCCTAATGCCTGTGTCTGGACTCTCTGTGCAGATTGTGACGAGTCTGGAGGAGTTCCCACTGCGGCAGACTCCACAATACACAGACACCTTTAATGACACCTCTGTCCACTGGTTCCCTCTGCTGAAGCTGGAGGGACTGCCCAGGGACCTGTGGGCATCTCGGGAAGAGCCTGACTACCAGAACTGTGAGGACCTGGAGATCATAAGGAAACAGACAGGCTGAGCTCAGCTGGCATAGCAGGGCAGTACCTGCCACCTGGGCCGGAAGCCATGCTGCAGACCACGCCATCTCCTTTGCCAGGCCAGGAATACAGATCGGGCTGGTGGCATCACATCACATCCTGCCCTGGTGGCCTGGTCTCCCAAATAGAGACGTTGTTTGTAAAATCGGTTTAAAGTGCTGTTTATTCACACCTGACTGGTGTGGGGCCCTCATGTCTACTTGGCCATGTCTATGAGACTCTGCAGGGAGGTGGGCACCCAGGTCTTCTCGCCCTGCACGAACACCACACCCCGGTCGATGTAGATGACGATGCGGCCGAAGGTGTAGAGCTGTTTGCCCTCGTGCCGCTTGCCAATGACAGGCATGAAAACAATGTTGTGCTCTTCTGCCTTGGTCTCAATGAGGTCCTTGAAGTTCATGGGCACAGAGCTGGCAGCCGCACCGATACCCCTCTGAGCCATGTTCTCGGCCTCGCGGCGTTCCTGCATGGCCTCGTACTGGAAGTCCTTCCTGCGCTCCGTGTGGGTAAGGTAGGCAATGTTCTCTCGCGCGCCTGGCTGCATGTAGGCACCTGAGAGAGGAGAGGACAGTGAGGAGAGGTGACCCCAAGTGTACAGAACCCAACATGTATATGACAACACGGTGTGTCCTCTGCTTAGGGACCCAGGCACTAATATATGGTCGCTGCATACTTGGGGAGAGACATATCACAAAATTGGTCCAGGAACTTGAAGCTAATATCAAATACCAGAAGTGAACCTGTCAGTATCAGATGAGATGTGGCAAAGGCCTGAGCCCAGAGGTGGCCCCCTGAAATCACCACCCACAAGGTCACCTCATAATCTAGCATGGCCTATGCTGCCTCTACTTTCCCCTTGACCACAGAGGCCCCTGTCCTCAAAGAATGGAAAACGGGAGTTGGAAAAATGGCTCATTGGTTAGGAGTATGTATTATGTTTGCAGAGAATCCAGCTTGATTCCCAGCACCCACTTCAGATGCACACACTATCTCCAGACCCATGGGATCTGATGCCCTCTTCTGGCCTCTCTTGGCACTGCACTCGTGTGTACTACATGAACCAGGTAGCAATGTGACTGTAACACAGCAACCCTGGGCCCCAACAGCAAGCAATGATACACAGTGACCTGTAGTGATAGACCTGCCTCCACACCTGTAGCACTGACCATGCCCTCTGGGCGTGATCACAGGTGCAGATGTGACCAGTGAAAAGGAAATGGTTCGGGGTCGGAAGCCCCTTTTGAGTCGCAGAGCACTGGGGAGCAGGGTCTGTCTCCTTGGAGCAGGAAGGCTGCAGCAGTTACTTATTGTTTTCCGTGTAAGTTATTTACTAATAAACTCCACTTAAAACTGGTTTGGTGGACCCTAACATCCAGGCCTTTAAGGACCCAGCTGCCAAGTGCCACAGACATGAGCTCAGCCATCTTGTGGCCCATGAAGTAGGCACAGAGCAACTGCCACGTGATGTCTATGCAGAGCAGTGTGGGAAGCCTCTTGTTAGTCAGACCCACTCTTGTTAGCCTCTGTCACAGGACAACAGGGTTGGGGAGCTTTAAGTAGCTGAGTTCACTGAAGTGACACTTAGGGTGGGCTCACAGAAGACCAAAAACAATGGGAGTCAATGTCATGTTTAGGAACCACATCCCCAACAGGAACCCTACTCACCCACATTGGAGGACACAGCCCTGTTCATGATATCAAGTGCTTCATTGAACTTGTCCTTGACGGAGGGGTGGGCCAGCACCTGGTCTGAGAACATTGATTTCCAGCCCAGGTACCACTTGGTGATCTCCTCATAATTGGGGCTGTTACTGAGCCAGGAGCACAGCACCTGCCAAAGGACATGGGACATTGAGCTGGTGGCCACACACTGGACAGGGGGCTGGATCACAGCAGCAGGAGCAGAGTGTCCCTAGGGGCCAGATGCTGTCTGCAGTGCTGCTGCTCCCAACAACCCACACCTCAGGGCGCATGGAGCTGTGGCATTTAGCAGTCACTACAATCTAGAGCCAGCCTGTGGCCTATGTGTGCTGGCCCTGTTCTCCACATCCCCAGACAGGTTCTATGAGGAGCTGAGGTGAGGCAATACCATGCCTTGACAGCGATGGGCACTGAGGACCCTCAGGCTCTCACCACCCCAACCTGCCTGCCTAGGACACACAGCGTACCTGAAGCCACTTGGGGAAGAAATGCTTCTCCAGCAGCCCCACTAGGCTGGAGACAGAGATCATCCCTTCCCAGTCCATCACCCAGTAGAAGGCGTCCATATGCTGCTGGTGGGGGTTGATGACGAGCTCACCCAGGCACATACCTGCAAGAGAGACGGTCCCTGGCTCAACTTCTGCAGTGGCAAAGCCATGGAAGCACAAAGTGCTATCCAGCAGACCCTTCATTCCATGCTTCCACCCCAGCATCACAAGCATTTTCAGACCAGTGAAACCAGCCCCATCAGAAAAAGAACCACAAGGCACAGAGAGCCCAGAGTCACCGCTGCAGACCTTAGTCACAGTGGTGAAGAGACAACAAGAAGACTCTGGTTCCACTCCCCTTCCACCTCTGCCCTAAGTAGCATGCCTTTTGTAGTGGAACACGGAGTAAGTCACACATGGTCCTTGTCTCCTTACCCAGCTTGGGCACAATGTTCCTGAGCATGAAGGCCTCCCAGGACCCAGGGGTGAGGACCTCTTTCCAAGGCTGGAGGATGAGCTTGGCTGAGGCGTCACTGGGGTGCCACTTCTGCAGCGCGCTGGACAGCTTGCTGCGGACAGGGGAGTAGAGCGGCTCCAGGCGGGACTGCATGAGGGGCAGCCACGGGTGGATCCACGAGTGGATGGGAACGGTGTCTGTCAAGGGGTTCCAGTTGTCCACCTGCAGGGTGAATGGAGGACAAGCACTGCAGTTCATGGCACACTAGTGCTGTCCTGAGTAAAGAGGTGTGTGTCCTGACCACGGGCCACGTCCTCCATGTGCATGTGTGGGGGGGTGGGCAAGACCCAGCATGGAGGCAGGCACAGAAGCGCTAAGCTGCCTCCCAGGCATTTTGTGCTCTAGGTCCCTCCACAGAGGAAAACCAAACACACTTGTGCCACCAACTCCAACCTCAGCATGGCTCAAGGTTCACTAAAGGTACTGAGGAAATGAACTAACTCCCTCTTGAGGGAGGTAGGAAGGGGATACTCTGGAAAAGGCTAAATTAATACGGTAGGATATTAACAAGCCCTTCAGTCCCAGGAGTCTGGTGGCTCAGGTGATTAGAGACACTGTGTCAGAGCTCTGCCCTACCTCTTTCTGCAGCTTGGGGAAGATGAGCTGGTCCAGGATATTGTCCAGGATCCACACAGGGATGATGGGTGCCCAGCTGTCCAGGAAGTCCACCATCGGGTCACAGTTCCTGGGTTGCCACTGGGCAACAACATTCCGGACAAAAGGCATCCAGACCTCCCACATGAGCCTGTGAGAGGCAAGGGCAGCTGGTCAGCCAGTGTTGGCTTCAAAGTGTGCAACCTCACAGACCCCCACAGGAAACACCAGGCTAGTCCCCACAGGGGCTTCCATATGTCTTAGCTCAGGGCCTTGGGCTCCTCAGTGGTGCCACACACTGGCAGAGCTGCCACAGGACCATGTGGGACAATGGTGCCAGCACACAGCATCAAGAGCACATTACATTCGGGGTCACAGCCTGAGTGTGTCTTCGTCATGCCCCACCCCCTCCCCAGACACCTCTGCACTCTCCACGACAACCTCATTCTTGGTTCTCACTATTACCCAGTGCTGCCCGGTCACTTGTCTGCCACCTGCCCTTCCAGACTGTAGGTGTCAGTTGCTCATGGCCCTCCTGGGGTTGGCCCAGCTCCTAGGCACTCAGGACATGCAACAGACATGTGAGCAAGCATGCCTTCAACCCCCACAGCAGTGCCAGTGTGGAGCAGAGTCAAAAAGCAGCCGAAACTGCTGTCATCCAGCCTTCAGAGTTCCTGTTCCCCGGGAAGGCAAGGGGACATAGCAGGGTGGGGCCCGCACCTGTGGAAGGCGTCCGAGGACAGGTCCTGGCTGCTGTGAGACAGAAGCTGGTCATTCTCCAGGAGGCTCTTCCACTTAGAGATGATCTGGGTGCCATAGCTGCCATCCTGCAGAACACTGACATCATCAGTCTCCCCACCTCAGCAACCATGCCCCCGACCAAGCTGCAGGCTGCCCCTCGCTCACCTCAAGAGGGTGCCAATCCTTGAAGTAGTCCTTCACAAGCGGGTAGACGATGGCCACAGCCAGGTCTGCACGGTCTGCCAGGCGGTACTCCTCATAGTATTTGTCCTGCAGGGTCTCAAAGATGCGGGCGCACTCATCCAGCGTGAGGGGGTCGGTGCCGTGAGGCTGCATGCGGCGCTCACACTCCTCCACCAGGGCCAGCACCTTGCTGAGGTTGGAGATGACACGTTCCTCGTGTGCTAGGACCTCGGCGGTCTTCTCAAGCTCGTGGGACAGGCTGACCACCATGTCCCGCTCATACTGCAGTTGACGGTCGCTTTGGATGATCTCCTGCTCTGTGCGCTCAATGAGCAGCTGTAGGTTGTGCTCGAGCTCAGGCAGAGCAAAGCCCGGCACCCTGGCTTCCTTGCCAGCCATGGGAGGCAGCTGTGCCAGTAAAGGCAGTCCTTCATCGGGCACACTGTGCTTGTGGCTGATCTGGCTGTAACTGTAGTACACCTTCTGTTCCCGGCCTGTCATGTCGATCACCTTGGAAAGAGAGGCAGATTGCCACCTGTTAGCCACCACTGAGCAGGGGAGACAGGACACTGGCCAACTGTCAAACCAGTGGGCAGGTTTGAACGGTCATACACTGCCTCATGCTGAACTAAGGCAGGCAGCTGCCTCGCCACTCAGAGAGTGACAGCAACACCACCAGTCCATTACAGAGGGGGAGGCCTTTCCCCACACCCCAGCTGCCCCAAACCTCTCACTTCATCCACAACCATGACAAGCCTGACACTTGTGGGCCATCAGAACCCCAGGTCAGACGACTTAAAGGAGGGATCTTTCTCCTGGTTTTCAGACAGTCAGGCCCTTCCCTACCTGCTTGCTGCACTCCCAAGAGCCGCTGCCCCCTCCCACTCAAATGTATCCACAGAGAACCCAAAACAAACCAAAGGGAGCTGCAGGCTGAGCAGAGGCTCTGGGGTTAGGAGCTGCGCTCATCACAATGGTCTACATAAGGAGACGGGGTACATGGGGAGATGGGGTGCGTGGGTGGAAGGTAGGGCCTGAGGACTGAGCATTTGAGGCTAGCCTGGGCTAAAGTTCTAGACCAGCCTGGGTCACATGGCAAATTCTGTTTTAGGAGAAAGGGACATGGACGGATGCACGCACGCACCCACACACGCACACACCCACACCCACACGCGTGCGCACACGCGCACACACACACACACACACACACACACACACACGCATGCACACAGAGTTATCAAAGACCTCAGAGGACGTGATGCCCTCATACCTTGACCTGAGACAGCTCCTTCTGAGGTGCTGTGAGCTTCTTGCTGACCCTGCCCTTGGCCTTCAGCTCCTCCACAGTCTTGTAGGAGTACTTGGGCTTCTTCTTGCTCCCACTGGGGTCTTTCCTCCACTGGCTCAGCTCCTTCTGAAACTCCTGGGGCAGAGGGAGGCAGAGAACGTCAACAGGAGGGGTCTCCTCCACAGCAAGCAGCCAGGACAAGGCCCTTAGCAAGCCCACAGCCACCAATCACCACTTCCCAACCCAACCCTGCACAGTACAAGGGTTGAGATGCCAAGGCAGGGCCCCCAAAAGCTCGGCCAGTGCTGAGTCAGGTAGAGCTTAGAAAGCACTGGCCCCCACCTGGCTGACTCCACAGAAAACGCTAAGCAGTGGGTAGCATGATGAGGACACACCCACCCTACAAGTCCAGTTCCACGACTGCCTTTTATTTCTCATCCTGCTCTAACCTGTCACTTTCAAATACCTGGAGTTGCAGCTTTTCAAGAATCATGGCACCCAGTCTCATGCAGGGCTGTCTCTGAGCTGAGTAGAGCCTACACTGCAGTCAGACCACCATACAGAAGCATGCCTCGGGTCCCACCCTGCCCACCATCTCACAGATTCCCGCCTCTCACACACCTAAGCCCATGACGGCATGGTGTCATTGGCTGCACGCTGAGCCCCCAGCAGGGGTGGGGTGACACCCAAAGGCCATCAGAGTGCACAAACCATGACTGACAGCTGTCTGGGGTGGCCCATGCCACGAGCCACCCACACGGCTGCCCTCTCATTACCTCTTCAGCCTCCTCTTCTGAGTCGGCCACGGGGAAGTCCTGCAGAGACTGAGTGGTCCGCTCTG